TCGAGACTGGATTTTAGGTCTTAATCTCCATCAATAGGCATACCAATGTATATAATTACTATAATAATGAATTCGTACTTGAAATTCTCATAAAATATTTCATCCTTTATTCCTCTTAAGAATGACTATGTTTTTGAATATCATTATAGTCGATTAGAACCTCATTATAGGGCATCTATTATATTTTCTATACTATTTTAAATACAATTTGTATCTCAGCTCGAAGAAATCATTTTAAATTGTAACCATTACTGGAGCTTGCAAAAGTATACGCCTAGTTTTGACATATTTTTGCGAGTATATTTGCGATTTGGCTAAAAATCAATGTTTATTATACGACAGAAAAAACCAATACACAATAACGTCAACACTATTTTATCGATCTAGTTTCTGTCTTTGGACATTGTGTTATTCCAACAGTGATAGGAATAGTGAGCGCAAATGATTACGATAATCAAGAATAGTGAGATCGTCATGATGTGCAAGCAATAGATACCACACGACATCGACAGTATGTGCATAAAATTCGATAGTTTTATGTCTGCTGCTTTGCATTGTCAATAGGCTGCTTGAGTAATATTAAATGATTTATTATCATCAGTGTAATTGATCTAATTATATTTTATCCAATAGTAACATTCCTCATAAGAGCGATGCTAACTATGACTATGACAATGAATTATATTTGGACGATATGGATGTGTCCATAAAAGAAGGATACGAGGGTGCTTTACATAAAACAACACGCACCGAAAAGAACCAGAAAAGTAATAACAGAAAACATTTATCGATTATAATAGCTTTGAAATCCTGATGTAGTATTGAAACCAGTTGCATTTATTATTCGTCTTTTTCCACAAATCTTCTAGGTACTTATTATGGTACAAATAAGACCAATGTGTAGACTTTCATAGGTAGACACTATCTAAGATTTCGTCTTAATGATGACATAAACAATCCGAATTTATTGATATTATTCGTGTATCCATTTTTTTTATTTTCGACGCATCTCCAACCGTTTGTCAGCAATGTAACTTCACGCGTCTGGATGCGTTCAAAATGCAACATTTTTGGATGTCCTAACGCGTTCTGATAGGGAAACGCATCCTGACGCTGTTTATTGTTAGATGCATCTAAACGCATTTTAGGATATCCAAAATTTGTTAAATTTTAAAAAATTGTGCTCTATATCATGGTATCGATCCATTTTCATCGCCACATGATATTTTTATTTCAATTTAACATATTAAGTTATTGAATAGAGTACAACAAACGAGATTTGACCATGATATCTACAGAATGAAAGAAATTGAACTTATCACGAAGCTATAAATACGCGTACAGCCTTATCTGTTATTATCATGTGAATTTTTATAGAGGAAAAGATCAATTTAGCAATTACTTCAATAAATTATATAAACTTGGAAATATTTTCATTTTTTTAATTTATCAGTGTCACATAAAATTGTATACATGACATCGGTTACATATGATTAACTTTATAAAAATAATAATCATAGTTTTTGGATCACAGAATACAAGAAAAACGGTTTTTTCGATAATCAATTGCTTATTCAATAAATATTCGACGGATGCAGCATCTTAACTTTTTTGTCTTTTTAAAGTAAAAAAACATTAATTTAAATTTTAAATTCGAATTAAGTCATTATTTTTTCTTTTCCTGTTTTATTTTGAATGAAATTTTTGATCATAGCGAGGTGAAGATAAATTCTATAGAATTTACTTTTCAAAAAAATTAGTGGAAATTGAAGAAAACAAATTTAAAGAATTGAGTTTTTTGTAGACGATTATATGCATGTTGTTTCTTCTGTCACATATGACTCCTTAGTTTAAGAATTCGTATATGAAGAAGTAGAAAAAAACTTTAGATTTTAACACATAAACATTAAATGTATTGTAAATGCGTTCATAACCAACCCAGATAAAATATTTGTTGCACATGGACGTGTCTAAAAGCACGGTGGCAATAGTACCTGAATGCGCATTTTGTGTTCTGATCGCATTTAGACGCTATTTTAAGTTGTTTTTACCCACATTCAGACGTAGTTCTGTTTCAAGTTGTGTTTGAAAGCAACTCTATCATTGTGTCTGAACTACATCTGGATTCTTTTGTTTCGTCTACTTCTTATCTGTTTGTATCTCAAATAGGTTTATATGGAAACTAACTTTGAACTTCATGTTTGAGTTAAAGTGAACATTTTTGCTTAACATTTAAATTTTATTTATTTTGAAATTTAAATTGTTACGTTTAACGTATGTGCTATACAAGAGCGAAATTGATTTCATGAAAAAAAGGTGGTGGTAGTGACATGTAACAAAACAATATTGTTGTAATACCGTTCTTGAATGAATGTTCTGTATATTTCAAAATTTGATACGTGTACTCATTTATTTCTATTTCACAGATTAACTAAGTCTTCATGACTTTATATGATGAACACAAATATGATGAGATTTCTCGTATCCAATTATTTGTGTTTATATTCTATTTTATGCAATACTAGCCACTGATGTTTTGAAGTGCAGATTATTAAGAAGAGTCCTCTTTAAGAATTCGAAATGCAGTAAGACTTGAATACGTCGTCTATATAATTACCTGTATAATTTTTATGCTTTTTTTGTGTAAGAAACACGCAGTTCAATTTACTGTTCGAAATTTAGTTACGTGCACTGGGACGAAGTAATCTGCATTATTGATAGCACTATATGCACTTGCAGCTAGAAACACGTTCATATGTATCTTGTCTATGCAAAACAGAAAAAGAAACTACATTTACATGCACGATTGGAACTCAAAAGCATTAATTGCATTTATGGTAGGCGCGTTCGGATGCAAAAGTAAAAGCAATTGCATTGAAACGCGTCTAAGTTAATATTATTTCCAGTTATGAACGCATTCCGACGCAAAAAAGAAACTGTTCGCATTGAAACGCGTTTAACAACTAATGGAAACCAGTTGTGATGCATTTTAGTCGTGAAACGCATCTGAACGCATGCAAGACTTTGCAACGCGTTTAAAAATTAATGTAAAATCAGTTGTGATGCATTTTAGTCATGAAACACATCTGAACGCATGCAAGACTTTGCAACGCATTCAAACACCCATATGATGAACGCATTTCAGTGTGTTTGGAGACTGTTTCAATTTCAGACGCGTTTAAACGGGCTAAAAATGCGTTTTATGGCTACATGGATATCTTTATTGCATATTACTTATATTCTTATTGACTTATCTACAAATGCACCTGACATACATAATGAAGAATAGCAATACATCACAACCGTCAAAATTCGAATTTTTGTTATAAAACTTTTTTCCAACACCACTTATTAAGATAAGGATCATTTTTCACCTCAGCAACTTGATACAATTTACAAAAAGAAAAATGCAATTTACTCATACAAATTCAAAAGATACTAGTATAGTGACAAACTGAAGGAGTAGCTTGCCGTCACCCTCGGTAATGATGTTTATTGAGCTACTTCAAATAAAATACAAGCTCATACCGGAGAGAGAGATGAGTAGAGGGAAGAACAATAGAGGCAAGATAAAGACGAAAGAGGGACGGAAGATCAACGGGAGGTAATACCAATATCGGCACAACTAAGTCTTACAAATGTAATTTGCAACATACAATAGCTGCTCTATAATGAGGTTCTAATTGACTACAATGACATTCAAAAATATAGTCATTCTTAAAAGGAACGAAGGATGAAATATTTTATAAGATTTTTAAATACGAATTTACTATTATAGTAATTGTATACATTGATCTGTCTATTGACAAAGATCAAGACCTAGAATCTAGTCTTAATTTGGCAGATATTCACTTCAAATAAGAAAAATGTTCTCTTTTTTCCAGCTGAAAGTCAATTTTTGATCTTGACATAGACGTATCTCTCTGCAGACAAATAATGTTTTCCGTGCTATGAAATCTAAAAAACGTTGATTCTTCTGTTATAAGTCCTCTTCAATAAGATATATCGAACTTTAAGTTTTATGGTGAATGTATCTCATTTTAGTTCTACTATTAGTCCAAATTCTATTGAATTTGAACGACTATCTGAAAAACGACAGTGTCCTTTTAAGCCATCATCAATTTACAATTTATTTTCAATAGGTTTTATCTAGTTAAAACCATGAATCCAATTAGTCGGATAATAAGCATAAATAAAAGCGATTAAAATTACTTTTTTTTTGACAGCTGATAATCAATTGCAATTTGATTATGATTTTTGAAAAAAGAGTCCATTTTTAATTGATATTAGTTTTGTCTTTCTTACAGGATAATCGGCTTTGTGATTTTGATTATGACCATCAGGTTCCCAGACTTTAATCAATTTCAATTCAACAAATTTTTCACTCGAATCCTCCTCTAATCAAGAGTAGGCGATATCCAGAGTTTACCAGTGAAATAGTACTATTAACTTCGTTATTGTTTATAAGATTGTCAACTTTTTATATATAAGTACTAGTAAAAACTTCAAAAAATTCATATGCAGAATGTGTTGGTATATATAAGTGTCCTTCAAAAAGTTTTAATGAATCATGATGGTCATGATAACTTACTGCTAATACAAAAGCATCAATTGATTGTCTCAATTCTAATACAGAAATTTTATCATTTTTGTAACACTTATGTTGATCCGACAACTCTGATTATTATCGTAAACACAGATGGCGTTCAAGAGAGCCACAATCAGGAGAGCCTGAAATTTACCTCTCTTCCAAAAGGTATATATTGTGGATGAGATGCAATTTGAAATATTAATCTGATTAAGAATATAAAAGCTTCTTTTTCCTGTTTTTCTTTTTGTAATAGACAAGATAAAATGAGTTGAAAAACACAAGAACAGTGTGACTGTGAAAACAAGCCTGAAAAAAGTGAAGAAAAAAAAATGGCACTATTACAACATTATTCATTCTAAGATTTCTATTGTAGCACATACTATATAGTATATATACTGGTGAGCATTAAATGGCTTCATGGAATCGAAAGAAAGATTCAGCACCTTACGAAACGGCCGAATTAATCATAAGTGGTATTATTCCTATTTTTCTTATTGTAATTGGTACTGTCGGCAATCTTATATCTATTATTGTTTTACTCAATAAAGAAAATCGGCGAACATCAACTAATATCTATTTAATATTTTTATGTCTTATGGATACAATATCACTTTATCAATGGAATTTAAGTAATGCTATATATACATTCACAGATGGTCAAAAACAAATATGGGGTCAATCATTATTCATTTGCAAATTGAGTCAATTTTTTCCTTTTTATACTTTACATACATCAGCCATATTTCTTACTTTTGTCGAGCTTGATCGAGCCTGTTTATTAAGAAGTCGATGGTATAAAATCAAAGTAGCTCGACCACGTGTTGCATTTATCATTTGTGTTATTATTCTACTAATTTTATTTATATTAAATGGATTTTTATTTGGATTAGGTTTTGAATATTCGACATATGATAATAGTACAGGAACAACACAAACAACTGTAGCATGTTATTACTCATTGAACATTGGATTCAATAATTTTTTTAATATTCAATATGCATGGGTAAGTATTAAACTAAATATATAATTTAGATTAGGATTCATTTTCTTATATAGATTCATCTCGTGATTATGTATTTTCTACCATTTACTATTATAATAGTATGTACATTATTTACAATAAAAAAGCTGATTTTTAGACAAATATCTACAAATGACCAATTAGCAATTAGTGCTCAACGTAACCGTCGTATTTCACTAATGTTGTTACTGATGTGTTTGATCTATGCTGTTTGTACTGTACCTAATCGTCTATGTTTTTCCATTTTCGCAAATCTGATTATTGGGCATGACTATACTGATACGGTATTTCTTGCTACAAACACATTAATGTATACAAGAAATGCAATGAATGCATTGTTCCTATACATATCTGTCCATGGGTTTCAACAATATATACGTAAAATCGTATTACGATGTCTTGGTAAACAATTAAATAAAGTGGATCCGAGAAATCATACAATGACAAAAGATTATATGATCGGAACAACGATTGGTGAAAAACAATTCGGAATGAGAATCAATAAATTCCTACAATAATAAATTGATTATTCTCTGCACTCTCTTACAAAATAATCAAAAACTAAATAACTTCTCTATCAGTATCATTTATTGTCGTATTAAAAATTTAGTTCTGTATTGTGATTGTAAAATTATTGTTTACTTGTACAATAAAGCAGATCAATTTATCTTAATTTTTCTAAAATTTTCTCTATGAAAACAAAAAGTGAATACAAGATACATTCGCAATAAAAATTGAATTACTACTATAAATCATGATCAAACTTCTTTTAAAAACTCGCATTGACTTTAATTAAAACCCTTCTTAGCTAAACCCAAATCGATAATCCTTGCTCATGCATTGCGAGTATTAGTTTATCAATAACAAAAAAAAAAGAAAAACAATCAGCTAATCAATATCAATCCTAAATATTTAGTTCTCTTTCACAGAACTCATCTTGCATTCAAGCGATAATAATAATAATTTATTTTAAGATTTAGATTATTTTCAAGAAAAGTTAATTTATGCATATAATTTTACTTGATATGACACTTGATAATTACTATTCATAGAAAAGCCATGATGCCACTCTTTATAATCTCTATATCTTTCTGCATATCACGTTAAATTTAACTCAATCAAAAGCTTCTTTGATTAAAAGCGGATGTCATGTATATATTTCACCAGATCGATTAAGATAAATAATCTGTATTGAACAAAACTCATACCATCAGCAAATTGCAGTTACTTTTTCTTAAAATAAAATAACTTTTCATTAAAATTTTTTAAAGCGATTTATTTCCTACATGCGCTCTCATTGATCAAATCTTTAAAAATTAATCATGAAATTCAATTGTTTTATACAAAACTTGTAAAATTGTCAACTTTAAATTAACCGAAAATTTAAAACAATTTTATTTTACTTAAAATTAACTTTTTTCATGTTCACAAATGAGATTTCTTCAACTTTAAATTTATTCGATAGCATAATGTGTGAACCATCTTTGTATACGCTGAAAACTCGATATACATTACTTATAAATAAAGTAAATGCTCTTTCTTCTATAGTCGCAGACCTACCATGGAATATTAAATGAAAATTACAATGATCGAACACTTCTGGATGTTCACATACTCACTATGAATATTTAGGCTCTATTTATCTAATTTTAAAGAATAGATTACAATAAATTTCTTATATTTATCTATTATATTTTGAAAATAAGTTATACCATTGAATAGAGAAATTAAAACTACATATTTCGATAAAGAAGACTGATTTCAAATGAGATATTTTATGTTAAAAAATTTTAGCAATATGACATGCATAAAAATCCCCAGATGTTTATGTATTAATTAGAAATGAATTTGATACAATTATTGTGTTAGATATATATATAAAATTAATCTTTGTACCATACGTAATACACGAAGTTTCCTAATTTTAATCAATTCTATTTACTACAACTTGTCTAACATATAAAGAAGCGAGTAGGATCAGCTTTCAAGCACTTCATTTTTTCTACATTTCTTGACACAAAGAATCGCATTTGAAATTAGCCTTCTGTATTTAAATATACAGCTTTATTTTTGGTATTCAATACTATACTGTGTTTTGAAAATAAAGCTAAAGAATGAATAAACATTGAAAATGTATTCTGACACATGTGCTAAATCAAAATTTGTTTTAAATATTAGCGAATTAATTAAAGGGATGATATACCTATTGTTTAGATAATGATAAAAAGTACAACAGTTTTTAGAGCCATAGTAACGACAACTATGATTTTGATGCAAACATACCTATATTTTTTTAGTACCATTAATGTGAAAAATAAAATTCTTGTTTTTCTCTTATATGACTCTTTTATTATTGTAGGCTCATAAGCATAACATGTTGTTTCAAAAGCCTGAAAAGGGTGGATATGGGATTCCTCTTCACCCACACACATATCCACTACCACCACAAATACACTTTATCATAAAAACGTACAATCGCACAGGAATTCATTCGTTTTTCACAAGAAAGTATTTTTTGTAACCATACGATCGTATTATGGTCTCCATTGTGAAGACATAGCGAGAAACATCGGCTGTTAGAACAGTCTTCCAATATATATTGTACGATTGATTCGAGTTGATAATTCACAGGAATCTGCAGACATTCCATTCGAGAACAGAGACTGACGAGTACTTTTATCTCGTCAAGCGTGCAGGAATATAAAACAGTCACTTTGGTAATGTTGCTGTTAAACACTAAACAAATCGTTTGCATTTGTTTGCTCGACAGTGAATTGATGTTCTGTATTATGTTTCTAAAACTTGTTGATGAATTTGCATTGTAGTCCCTTAGCACGTTTCTGATCATTCGATTGTCCATGTTGAGATCTGTATATTGAACGTTAAGTTGAGTTCGTTGTCTTAAAGGAATCGTATGATTACAATCGAAAGTAAACCACGGATGCGATTGGGAATCATATTTTGAAATAATGAGCTCAGTTGCGTGAGAATATGGCATCAAGCAGCCATCAACACCTTGAGAAATGTGAATAGCAAGTCGATGGTTTAAATTAAGATCCGCTGTCTCACCACAGTCGCTCTTTGTATGCTCCCCGTCATGAAACGTATAGTCCTTCCTTCTACAATGAAAAAGAAAGTCATCTCACAATTCACAAATTTGTTAGCTGCTACCGATTGGAATGAGGAATAGAATAAAATAAGGTATTAGAGAAATTATTTTGGTTATGTTGATGCATAAAGGACCATTGTCGTTCTAGCCAAAACATAGAGGCAAACTTATCCAACAATGCCTCACATTGAGTATGGCAATTGAGTTCCTCCCAAATTGATGTTTGATGTTGAATATCAAAGGTGTGTAAGTTAGGCATGTAGGTTGAAATCAAGCGTTGCCAATGGCTAGCATTGAAGTAGTCATTATTGTCTTGTGATCTAATACGCAGTATTTGTATCTGTGAAGAAAACTGTCGAATAATATATTGGAATTGTTGAAATGAAATATTGGACAATTCGAAAGAGACATGTGTAAGACTGTGCGGTACAACCGGTACTTCTGTTAGTGTTTGTCGGTCTTCATATAGGCGACATGACAATCGACGTAGGTGAGGCGTGTAAGAGAGAATGGCGCCAAGATCATCGAGACGACAACCGCCATTGATACTGAGATGTTCAATATTGGTGCGCACATTTTCAGCAATTGTTAATGGAGGACGTTTCATACTAAGTTCAAATGTCAATCTACAATACTTCAACTTGGGCAAGCGAAATATGAGATGGTAAACGTCGTCACGAAATCTAAAATAATCAACGATTGTAATGGACAAGTAGACGAGATAGGGTAGCGAGGCTAAATCGGCGAGAAGAGATGTAAAACTTCTTGATTTGATTCCATCCAAAATGATTGCTTTGAGTCGACAAAAAGATGAATTGATAGTGAATGTTGAAAGGAAAAAATCGATTAATAAAGGATTTGATAAACGAAGTGACGAAATTTTGTGCAAATTAGGTCCAACAATGTCGATGCAACGATTTTGAAAAGTTGACTTATGTGTGGACAGATTAATTTTCAACGGAAGTGAACAATTATCAAGAAGAAGTTGGAAACGAGTATTAAGATTGTTGAATGCCTCATATATATGACATCCATCGAGAAATTCGAAAACTTCAAACATCAATTCATTCGACAGATCTTCGAAACAGGTCATGATATTGTCTATGTAATATTAAAAGAACAAAAAATGTTACAAGTTACTTCTATAGAGACGGTGAGAAGTAAGAAAATTGAAAACAGTCATATCTTGTGGTTTCTCTTCGAGAAAATTGATAGTCGGCTTTTTCCCCAACGTTGTGTCATATTGGAAAAATGCTCGATCGATGATTAACATAGTATGAAACACATGTCTAATAACCCAGTCTTCACATAATGGTTGGCAAATACAGAACAGAAATGAAACGCGAAAGATAACCGACAATAGTGTTTTGGTGAAAACAAACACGTCACTCTTTCCATCCTACCAAAAGCGTATAGGAAAGATAAATAAGGAAGAACACATGATGTCACAATATTTCATATATAATGCAGATTTTTTGCTTAGACATTTAACGAATTGAAAAAACGTGAGGATGGGAATGAAATTGAATATTAAGTCAGCGTTTTAATCTTATTTTGATTATAATTATAATTGCAATGTGCAGATTCGATTTGTCGTGTCAATGTCATTAAGTTCTTTAATCAATTATTTATCACAAATTTATTAAAAATATATTTTAGAATGTTCAAAGATTTAAATGAAATATAAAATAGGTACTGATTTTAATTAATTAAAATAAATATAATGAAAAGGATTATTTTAAATAAAATCATGTTCAATTGATATTTCAAAGAACAATTTATATTTGGTGTTGTTTCAATTGATGTTTGTGTACTATTGGTGTAGTACCATGATGATGAAATGGTTGTCGTTATTGTTGTAGTATTAGACATTGTATGAGTTGGTTCAAGATGTTCACCAGTCTTACTAACAATTTCATCCATCCAAGATCGATAATAAGATAAACGAGTATAAATATTTGGAATACTACTATTTTCACACGTAAAATCACTAGATATGATACCAATTTGTTGCCAATATTGTCCTGTCCATTGAAGTATTGCTCCACCAGAATCTCCTTCAAGAGAAAAGTGGTTATAAGATTTTCACTCACAAATGGAACATATATAGGTTATGAGAGAAAGACTCCCTTCCTCTAGTGATGTGTAGATTATCACATTTTATAGTAAACTGTTGAAACATCAACAGGTAGTACCCTCTATTGATATCTCAGCAGTAAGCAATTGAAGTCTTCCTCTATTCATCAGGGAACTATTCGAACTGATACTCGTCGTTTGAGTTAATATTGACTTCACAGAAAAGTCTCGATAAGGCTAGAAAAATTCTAAAAGGGTTCGTGCCAATACTAAGTTATATAGCTATCATTCTGAGGTCAAAAATCACCGTGAATCCTATATTCATCTTTCTTT